TCTTTCTTTCTTTCTTTCTTTCTTTCTTTCTTTCTTTCTTTCTTTCTTTCTTTCTTTCTTTCTTTCTCTTTCTCTTTCTCTTCTCCCTCATGCTGCGCAGCTGGGATCTCGGCGGGCGGTATGTGGAAAGAAGACGATGACAATGATGATGAAGCCGTCAAGAACTGAACTGCGGAATTTGCAGCTTGAAAAAGAACAAACTGAATATATGAAATATGACGAGGTATGAGTTAGATGGAGAAGTGCAGGACAGCACACCGACGTGCAGCTCCGCCTGTTCCAACGCTTGTACTACGTATAGTAGTAGAGAGTAAGTACATATACATCGAGAGTCACTACAAGTAGACACAACAATTGCCAATGTCCTACATCATACTTCTCTGCGTTCATCACACCTCTTTGCTTCCACCTTCGCCCCCTTTCCAATCTTAGCAGGTAGACAATGAACACTTATATGCCTCGATGCCTAGTTATGCGAGACTTTAAACGGCATTAGCGGAACGGCGAGCATATCCTACGTATTCAAGACGGCTCCACCGCTTTGGCATAGACTAGATACCTAGCCAAGAAAACATTCGTAGGCAACCGAACAACAAGCCCGCATGCTCGTATCACCCACATGTTTGTACCTAAGACGTGGAGGTCCGTCACGCCAGTTACAAAATGCCCAAAAGCTGTATTTTGACTGTGCTGGTTAGGTCAGTCAGTGGATGGGCTCTCACCCCGAGCCTGTGATTTCTACAAGACAGTGCGCGCGTGTCGCCTGCCACCACGTTGTATACATCTCGAGGACGCGCTGGCGCGAGAACCTCCAAAGAACCTGGGCCCCGTCTCCGAATGGCTTCTTTTCAAACGCGAGCCTCCTGTTGGCCGGATTACTGAAGGCGGACTGGGCTGGGCCCAATGGGTCCTCGACGCTAAGAAGGACAGCTCTTGTCCGTTAAAGAAACGCACACCTGTATCTAGAAGCGAAGATAGCTTTCATCATCACACGGACGTGGACTGGGGTTTCAGCAATCGTCAACGATGCGCATCTACACAGGAGCGGAAAGACAGAACCACCACTTTTCATACGCCAGTTAACTATAAGCAACCATTATGTTCATGTATCTGATAGAGAAAGGTATCGCTCACCGACCTTTGACCGGCGTGCACTTTGCAATTTATATGGGTTCTCTGAGCCCTCGAGTAGCACGGTGGAACTGGCAAAAGTGTCTAGTCTATACAAAGCTTAGAGTTATTGTGTACAAACTGTTGTGGTAGATTCAAACTATGCGATTTATGCACTGCTGATGAAGTCTAATTATAGCCAGAATATCCGCCTTTTTGTAATAAATATGTATATTCAAACATCTATTTCGCCACGATTTTAGGCCCTAAGTTCCTATATACTTATTTACAGGACGGTCCTACTCCAAGACCACCCCCTGCCCAGCCTAGCCTTCCCCCACACGCAAGATAAGACCTCCTAACAGCGCCGCAGGCAACAGATTTATAGTCATCGAAACCAACTCTTCACACCCCTTACACGCTACAGTAAAGACATGAGCCTTGTACCTAAGACTATAAAGACTGTCGTGCACCGAAAGAGAATATTGAGTCTTAAGCGTAAGAGAGAGAGAGAGAGAGAGAGAGAGAAGTAGTAGTGATTCAAGAAGCCGTAGTCTCTATCTAACCTATGAAAGTCAAGGCTCAGCACTCTCCCACCCGCTGCGATATACGCGAAGGAAGCTTTGCCCATTGACGTGATATATACAGCATAAGATATTAACAATCTGCCTCCGCAGTGACGTCTCTTTAAACCCCCAAACCAGGTGCATCAGTCCTTGATACCTATAGCAGTAAAGAGTGTCGGAAAAGCTGCACTCTTATCCCTTTATGCAGCAGAGAGAACAAACTTTTTGCTAGGCTCTCGGGACAGTATGCTTGATTCCTGGCACTTCTAGTTTCGGAAACTTGTGCGTACGAGTAGGTAAAGGTATGTGCGGCTTTAGTTTGACTCGGAACAGGCAGGTGAGAGCTAGATGAGGTTGAAGTTGTGGTTGGCTCCTGTACGCCGTCACTGCCAACCTATGTACTCCCTCATCTTTATCCACCTCCTCCTCTTCCGCTTCCTTCTTCTTCTCTTTCTTTTCCTTTTCCGCCCTCTTACTCCCTCCCACCGCCGCATCATGCCCTGCTCTCTACCCCAGACCACCTCACCACCAACCCCCTCATCTAACGCCCCCCACTCCCCTTCAACGCCGCTTCAACGCCACTTCAACGTCACGCTCACTCCTCCTCCCCCTCACCCTCCCCGTCCTCCTCACTCTCCCCCTCATCAAACCCCCCTCCCCCCAACTCCACCCTATCTCCCTCCCACCTTCTTCCTCCCTCCCCCCTTTCCCCAGCACCATCCACCCCCACCATTCCCTCCCGCCCGCCTTCCCGCCCGCCCCCCAACCCCCTCCCCCTCCCCCTCCCCCGCTCAACCAAAACCACAACCCCCCTCTCCAGCCCCGCCACGCTCTGCCGCAGACTCGGCAGCGCGCACAGGGTGCCTCGGTGCGCGCTCGCGGCCAGGAAGGTCGATAGCGTGGCGTGGTAGCGGGCGCTGAGGGTTTCGATGTCGGTGGCTGTGTCTGTTTCGGCTGCGGAGTCTTGCTCTTGCTCTGATTTTATAGCTGTTTTTGGAGGGGTTGTGTGCGAGGGGAAGGGGCAAGGTGAGAGGGGGGGGGATACTGATGGTGCTGGTGTGGTTGTGGTTGTGGCTTGCTCTGAGGCTCTTGTAAGCGGGGAGGGTGGGGGGTGTGATGATGGAGGCGAGGACGGAGGCGAGGACGAAGGCGCGGTCGAAGACGCTGTAGGAGGCGATGCTGACTGCGAAATAGAAGGGGATGCTGAACGCGACGTCGAAGGGGAAGCCGCATCGAAACCCCCATCCAACCCCAAACCCAAACCCAACACCCCCGCCATACCCTCAAGTGCAGTCCCCGCATCAGTCCCCGCGTCAACATCAACATCAACATCAACATCCACATCCACATCCGCGAAGGAAGAGCTAGTAGAGTAGAGCGAGGACGGCGACGTCGACTTGTTTTCGTCGGCGTTGGGGTCGGAGTTGGAATAGTAGGACGAGGAGGAGTAGCAGGACGAAGAAGGGGATATGGAGGTGGTGGAAGGTCGCCGCAGTGCTGTGATGAGCGAGAGGGAGAGCGAGAGGGGGCGGATGAGGGGGGAGAGGTCTGTGTATGGGTTTGTGTCTGCGTCTGGGTGCGAAGAGGTGGATGAGGATGAGGATGAAAGCGAGGGTGAGGGCGGGGGTGGTGGCTGCGTTGGCGATGGCGATGATGATGGCGGGGGGGAGGTCTGCTGGGTGGTAGTATTGGTGGTGGGGTTGTCGTTGTCGTTTTCGTTGGCGTTGTTGTGGCTGTTTGTTGTCGTTGTAGTGGTGGTAGTGATCTGGAGATGGCGCCTTGACGCAGAAGGGGAGACAGTCCGTTTGAATTCGGCTTTGTTTTGGGGTTGTAGATTGGTTTCGTTTCCCTCCATCCTCAGCGGGGAGGTTGGTGAAGGCTTGCCGGGTTTCATAGCTTAAAAAAGTAGGGATATTCTTGCGTTTAGGATATAACGGGTTGGTATGACGTTCGGAGACTGGAGTCGGACGTAAAGACGCAAAGGAAAAGAGAAATCCAAATCGTCGTCAGAAGAAAATAAATCCACAAGAGAGCAGAGGGGAGCACGGAAGCTTTATCTATGAGTCTGTGACAGCGGGCGTTTGTAAACGGACGGATGGGCGCAGCGCGTGCGGACAAAGTAAAATGCACATGGCGCGCCGTTTGGACGACGTTTTCATACAGCAGCCAGCCGACCAGCTGGATGGGTAGGGATGGGATGAACTAACTTTGTGCTCCTCTGGTGGTTAAGCTCGTGGTGCTGAGAAGGTGGTTGTGGGTATTTACTGGCTGGGTTCCGCGCGGCCGTTTGCACGCCTTGTCCGGTATAAAGAGAAGAGGGTTATGACAAGTCAATGCTGCGTAGATATCGGACTGTCTTTGCTATTGCTCTTATGGCTTATGGTGTAAAGGTGTGGATACTTCGAGAAGCAGGTGTAGAAAAGACTTAGATTTGGAGTTGTCACACCCCATCAACACCTCGCCGCGTAGCTGGGACTACCATAACCAACTACGCGCAAACGACCGCGAGTCGTAGTCAAGTGAATTAAGGTATCTCGCAGGCCGTACTTCGCAGTGCGCACGGATGCGGCAGGCGGAGCGACTGCACACAGCGCCCCGTCTACAGAGACAGTTTTAGATACACTTACTTTGTGTTGCGGAGACATTGATTGTTTAAGTTGTTGTTTAGGTTGAAAGTATACAGCGTTTGAGACAGTTTGGAGGTGATTCAGAAGGCAAAGCGGGCCCGCACAGACGCTAAGCCCAACAAGCTCGAAATAAAGTGCGGCCCCGGAGGCGGAGGCGTGTCGGTCCCAGCCAGCGCGCGGTCCCTGACTCTCTCATCAACGTCTCTCTCCGCGCCAATGGCTCTCTGAGCCCTTGTTTCACTCGCTCCCACTGCTCTAACAGCTCCGTCATTCATTCGCTCTCTCGTACATCCATCCATCCATTTAGTCTGTCGTTTCCCCACAACACCAACAACACCAACAGCGCCATCGCGCCGCCCAGTACGCGCGCCGATCACGCGATCCCCACCTCTAATCAATTCAATGGCCGCACCACCAACACCAGCAGTGCCCAAGACGCAGCTCCCCGACTGGGAGATCCCAGCCAATGGCGCAACGGCACACAAACCGGGGCTCAGCGCGAAGCTGCGCGCGCTGCTCCCGGCCCCCGCCCACAACCACCACCAGCGCTATTCCTGTACCAACCTCCGCACCAACAGGCGCGCCCAACTGCTGCTAGGCGCGGGCGCACTGCTCGTGCTTGTTGGCCTCGTCGTGGGGTTGGCGGTCGGGCTTACTGTGGGGCGGAACTCGCGGTATGTGTTTACTGTATTTACTACTTGATAATAATGACGACGACGACAACAACAACAACAACAACAACAACAACAACAACAACAACAACAACAACAATGCAATTCCCTCCTCTAACGCCCCAACCAGGCACGCCCAAAACCTGCCCCTCCCGACCTCCAGCACGCCCCACACGGGCGACCTGACGTACTACGGGCCCGGCCTCGGGGCATGTGGCATCGACAGCTCCGACAAGGACCTTATCGTGTCCATCTCGCAGCAAGTCTTCGACGCCGCAGGCGCCAACGCTGGCGTTGGTGGAAACCCCAACGCAAACCCCCTCTGCAACCGCAAGATTCGCGCGCGGCGGTACCACGAAGGCTTGCACGCAAACCGCAGCGTCGATCTCACGGTCGTGGATCGCTGTGTTGGCTGTGCGGCGACGGATATCGATGTCAGTCCGGGCGCGTTTGATGAGTTGGCCCCAAGGGAGAGTGGAAGGGTTGCGGTTGTTTGGGCTTGGTTGGGGGCGGGAGCGGGGGCGGGAGAGTAGGTGGGGGAGGGGGTGATGTGCTGATGTGCTGATATGGAGTTGTTGTTGTTGTTGTTGTTGTTGTTGTTGACCTACCGTAGATACCCGGGCGCGCAGCCCATTCGCACTTACTTCTGTAGTTGAACCTAGTCTAGCACTAGGTAGGTACTAGGCACCACTTAGCACCACTAAGCCTGCCTTTTTCACAGGAGGTAGGAAATCAGTCGGTCTGCAGGCCAGGCCAGCCACTTTCCTACCTACATGCATACCTACCTACTTTTCACACATACATCTATCTATCCTGCCAGGGAACAGAAATATCTAAACAAACAAACAAACACACGAATCCCCACTCACGCCCACCAGTCACCAGACCTCACCATTCTCTTACTTATTTACCTACCTATCGTACTCCTCAGTCCTAGCCCTCGCATAGCGCGAACTAGGTACTAACCTAACCCAAGCAACCCACACCGCTCCCCTCCCCCATTCCCTCCTGCCCAACACGTACGTCACACACACACACACACACACACACACCTACCTAGCATGCATGCACAAACACCACCAGAACCAATCAGCCACATCCATCCATTCATTCATAACCAATCACCTAGCCGTTCCAGTTTCCGAACAAACGCCAACGCCAACGCCAACGCCAACGCTTTTCGTGCATGCCATGTGCATGGTCGTGTGCATGTGCGCTGGAAAGGCGCTAGCCGCCGTTGCATTGCAATGCGGGTCGGGGCGCGGGTGCGGATGTATTGGGTTCGGGTCGGGAGAGATGGGGCTCAGGATGAGAGGGTCGGGAGGGACGAGAACGCGTTGTTAGGGAAGGTTGTGGGACGATGTGTGTGTGGTATTACGCCTGCACGCTTCGGGCAGACGTGCCTGCTTAAGTGCCTGATTAGGTAGCTAGCTACCCACGTAACTACCTACCTAGTACGGAAGAAAACAGCGAGTAAAATCCCCGATAAGGCAGAACAACAGTGACAGCCCCTCTCCCCACAACATCCTACCAATAGCTCGCCCACCGACTCTCCCCCGCCACCACGCCCACAAACTCGCGCGCAAACACCCGGTCCGCCTGCTCCGACGGGTGCAGCGAGTCGTACCAGAGGAAGCTGTCGCGCTGCTGCGGCGGCAGCGTCGCGCCGTCGTGGTTGATCCAGCCCGTGACGTTCAGGGGCGCCGTGCCGTTGAAGTAGGCGCTGGGGTGGGCGTACATGTCGTTGACCTGTGAGGAGCGTTAGGGGTGGATGTTGTGCGTGTAAGGGGGAGAAAGGGGTGGGGGGAAGTAAAGGGGAAGGGTTGCGAACGCACCAAACTGTACATATCAAACAGCGCGACATGCGCGCCGGGATAGCGTTTCTTGAGCAGGAACTCATACGGCGTACGGTACTCATACACATCATTCGTCAGCACGACCTGCTCCCACATGCGGAAGCTCGTCTCAGTCGTATTCTGGTATCCGCCGACGCCGCCATTAGCCTCGAGGGCGTAGAGCGGGCTCAGCTGCAGCGGGACCAGGTTCATGAGGACGAAGAAGCGAGCGCCGGCCGCGTAGAGCCGGTCCAGCTGCGCGTACACGCAGTCCAGGTAGTCGGACAGCGTGAGGCCGGCTGGCTGGCTGTCCGTCAGAAACGCATTGCTGCCGATGTCATTGGTGCCGATCCAGAGGCTGAAGACCGTTTCATCGGCGGGCAGCTCGAGGAAGCCTGGGAGCGCTTTGTCGGCCAGGAAGGCCGGCACCTCGTACCCTGCTACGTCCGGGAAGGGCGCGTTGATGCCGTCCCAGATGCGCGAGATGATGGCGTTGGAGCACGTCGCGCCGCTGACGGCGTAGTTGTATACGTTGGCACCCGTGTAGTCGGCGACGTAGCGCGGCCAGATGTAGCCCCCCGTCGAGGTCGAGTTGCCCTGTTTTGCGCGGTTAGGTGGAGGCGGCTTGGATTGCTGGGCGTCTTGCTGAACGCTCACTCACCACTGGCTCGACCCAGCCCGCGGGCGGCGCGGTCCCGTTGTGTGTGCCAAAGTAACTCAATCTGCCCTCGTCGGTGTAGCTGTCTCCGAACGCAACCAAGCTCTTGAAGTTCTTGAGGTTCCATGAATTGTTGCTGGTACGGTTCCCCCCAGGCGGGAGCGCTGCCGCTAAGGGCAGCAACGCAGCAAGCACCGAATTGCCTGGAGTTGAGACACGCATACTGACGGGCAATGAGATGGTCTCACGAGCAATTGAGTCCCGGCGGAGTAGACAACGACGACACGGCTCGACGGACAACGGCTCAATGGCTTCCCCGCCTTTTATTTACGCCTCTCAAGCCTTCACGCAGTGCCATTGCAGGCACGGATGGCATATTCCGGTCATACATTCACACGCCATCACCGGTCGAACTTACCGTTTAGACTGGTCCTATGATGTCGTGCAGCGGAGAGCCTCGGGACGAGAATGCAGCGTGATGACAAAGTCGCCGTACGACAACAGGCTAAACAGCTGCCACCCCGGCCCGTATCAGAAGCTTGAGCAGGCTCGGCATAGCTCGTTCCTGTCGAGGATGCGGAGAAATCAATGACGAGGCTCAGATCGACGGAAGAGGCTGGTCGGGGGCGTTGTGACGTTTATAAGACAGTTTGACAGAGGAAGGGTCAACGACAATGGCCCCTTACTTCCTGGAGTTGGACAACTGTCGAGATTCTGCACGCACCGTGCTGCCATAGGTAGGCTCAGTCGAACGGCCTCCCGAACGCCAGCACATGACAGGCCGTGCAAATGTCGTGTTTCCGCCCATCCTCGTGCACCGGATGAGGTGCGCTAGCGAATCACGTGATGAGGGCGACTTTGAGGGGGGATGGCGTAGATGCCGTCGAGCCGTCAAGCCGGTGTGGGGTGGGCATGCGCTGCCTTGCTCTTGAGGCGGTTTTCGCGATGCAAGGGGACGCTCTGTTTGGGAGGCGGTCTGACGGCGGGCCATGGTGGTCGACTATTGACTCAGGGGCCAAAAGACAGCTCGTGGGCGGGTGTGTGAGATGTCCTGCAGCTCACCTGAATCGGGCGACACAGGATTCACATTGCATGCGGCGCAGCAGCAGTAGTCGGTAGTCCGTAGGTCGTGGATGTTGCAACGTGTTGCGGCGAAGACCACACACCGCTTGGAAAAAAGGGTCAAGAGTAGGACAGGACATGGCCTGATTGATGAAGGCGATATATCCTTGAGCACTAAGGTCGACATGATGCACGTGTCTGGCATTGCATGCGGCGCTAAGCACGATCCGACTTCCGCGACGATTTGCTGCAAGTCTGTGGACGGATTAAGTCGGCATGTGGATCCCTGGGCACAAGGCAACCGTTGTATGTCTTTGATCCTGCCCTCACCGCGACAAGGCGGACACGGGTACGGGCGGGCGCTTGCTCCTTCGCCCACCACCAGTAGATGGATGGCGTCGTAGCTGAACGGATCTCGCTGCCTGCTTCGCGCGCTTGCTGAAATTGCTCCGAGTCATGGGCCTGAAAGATGCAAAAGGCGTGGATACAAACCTTGAAAATGAGCCGATTAAGGGCCACTTTCTCCAGGTGTGTGTGTGTGTGTGTGTGTTGTGTGTAGGAGCCTGCGGAACCACGGTGTCGGTAGGTTTGTTGCTGCCTTGCACCTCGCCCATCGGCCCTGCCCGGGGCGGCCATTGCGCCCAGGACTTTCCTCCAAACGAGCACTCACGTCTCTCTTTCAGCCTTGTCCCAGCGCGCACGGCTCAGATCATCTTGTCTTGTGCAATCCTTCGGGAATATCCCTCTCTCCAGTCGTTCGGTACACTACTCTTTATCCCTAAACCTTATCCCGACCACAGCCTTCCCTTCTCCTGTTGCTCATGACCCTCCCATCTGACCCTCGCTTCGCCCATCGCTTCTCTTGGGCCGCAAGACAGGTCGAGTCATGGCAATCAGCTCGTCTTCGCCCAGGCTCTTCAGTTCGCGTCTCCGCCCGACTGTTCCAGGATGCTTAGAGGGAAGCTTCATCCAGAGAAATTCGTCGATTCGTGAAAGGTACATGAAAGGACCAAAGACAACCCGAAAGACGCCGCTCTGCTTAAGGTCTCCGCTCTTCGTCTCCGCTTGTAAGCACCTTTCCTCCTATTCCCCAGCCTGCAGTGGGCCTGTTCTAATAAGCTTATAGTCGGCTTCACCCAGCCAAGCTCTTGCCCACGGCTCATGTCGGCTTCACCCAACCAAGCTCTTGCACAAGGCTCATGTCCGCTTTCGGCCCCAGGCCACGGTCCTGTTCCAAGAAAATCAATAGCGGCTCAAAAGTGGGGAAACCTGGAAACTGACAGCGGAATGTAGAGCTTCAGGCGAGGATCGGCAGCCTCCGCCCGAGCTTGTCTCGTCAGAGCATCAACTTGCTCTTTAGTCCATCCCATACGCTCTGTGAAGGGCCAGATGGCTAGCGAGTCGAGCATCGTCCCGATGTTCTCCAGGTTTTGCTCGCCAACATTCTTCAGCTTCGGATCTGGAAATCGAACCAGGTCAGTCAACTCTTGACAACACGTCTGATTTTGTGGTTGTTCTCTGGAGGTGCTCCAAGACCATGCCGCAGTCGTGGATGTTCTCTCCTATCAAAGAGCCGAGAAAAACGGGTGCGTACCTGCTGGCCAACCCCCAATCGGCATCCGATATGTGACTTCCTGGACGTCTGCGAGGCCGGCGGTACGCATCATCTGCCCGAGGTGCCTTCCGATACGAGGGTCTCGATCTCTCTCCGTGATATGACGATATGCATTGGACCATTGCATCAGCGCATGCTCGTCTGTGAGCATTCCACTGTCAGACTGGATGATGTAGTAAAATTCGGCCATTTGAACCCATCCGCCGCGTTTCAATAATCGAAAAATGTCGCGGAGATAGGTTCGCCACCGTTCCTTTTTTATCCCTGGAGCGACGAGTCGGGAATGTACCAAGTCGTAGTAGTTCGGCTTGTAGGTCGGCGTGAGTGTTTGATTCAGGTCCCAGGCCTCGCATTCCAGATTGTCGGGCTGGTCGTCAGGCAACTCAGCTGCCGGATAGAGGTCGATCGCAGTGACCTGTCCGTCACCCTGTTAGTGGATTTCTGCTTTCAGGGAGGAAAAGAGAGAGAGAGACTGGCGCCGAGAAGAACACTCATTGGCTACCGGCACGCAACGTCCCTCCAAAAAAGCGACTCTTGTCAAATTCGCCCCCAATTGTTGGCAGTCGAAACGTTGCATGCAGCGGTGGTATCGGGAAGCTTACCTCACTGTTGGGGTAGGTCTGCGCCATTTCCAACGCCCAGTTACCCCGGCCATAGCCGCAGTCAAGGACCTTCAGGGGGTTCTGTAATGGCGGAAAGAACAACCGATCGTCGAAGAGGTAACGTAGAATCTGGTGTTGGTTTTCGAGTCTTTCTTCTTCTTCCTGTTGCCACCTCAGTCTTTTTTCCTTTTCGTCTAACGCAGCGTACTCCGATGCCCAAGGTATCCCGACCATTGAGCATGCAAAAAGCCAACTGCAGTAAAATCATCATTGCGATGCATGCCGCAGGGAAATACGTACCGCATCTACCGGCACGCAGTATATCTCATGGTCGACGGAAAATTTCTGGAACTCCCTATCGTGTAGGTCCACGGTCTCGTAGTACTCACTCGAAACGGTCTCTGTCATTCTGTCGCTGGCCGCTACTTGTTGCGCCAAACTGGTGTCCCTCCTACTGTGGCTTACCTTTGTACGACGTTGATGACGTGAATTACCCAGGACCGGGTTGAGTGCTCAGGGCTCAACCAGTTGCTCGGGATAGCGTGGGTTTTGCTCAGAGACGAGACGATGCCTGACGCAGCGGCTCCCGGATAGCCCCGCAAGAGCGCCAATAGGCCCCTCGACCAAACCAGGCCGGAGATATATAGATCATGTGCAGCGCGTCACAGGCACGGGTAGAGGCGCGGCGAATCTGAAGATCTCATGCGCCAGAGCTCCAAGGTAGTAGCCTCATACCTGCAGCGTCTACCGAGCAGCATGGGGATGCCAGTCCAATGGGCGTACCGGTTGGTGCTGCTGCACGTGGCCAAGAACATCCACGGACGAGCGTTCCCGTTTACGCATTCGAAATGTGATATGCGCTATGGTTATCACCTGACAGGAGGGACGACCAAGCGAAACATTTCCTTAATCGCGAAGGTAGGCACAAAATGTCCAAGCGAGTCTCCTATGTCCAAAGCACTACTAATTTCCATCCTATTCAAAAGACGGTGAAGCCGAATGCCGCTACAACTGTTACATGCGCAAGTTCGCGATGATGACAGGGCTTCTGCGCCGAGGCGACCCTAATACCCAAGCGGCCGCTTCTCATTACGGCTATGCATCCTTTTGCCGGCTCATCTGTGGTCCCTGGCCTTGGCTTGTTCGTGGCCGAACTATGCTCTGGCCAGACCGTCAGTAGCCGCAGGCCGCCAGCGTGCTCTTACGAGGCCACGACCCCTTCATACGCCTGCCCCAGGTGTGTTGAAGTCAACGCTGCAGGATGCAGGCAAGAAAACGGCGATTGAATCAAGTCGCCTCCGTCCGTCCCCACTTGCTCACGCCGGCGGCCCCCACCCATCGTGAGCTGGGGATCTTCTCGCAGTTCTCGCCGCCCAGCGTCATTTTGATCATCAGACTGCGTCCCAGGGCGCCTAACAATTGCAGGTTTTCGGCCGCATGCTAAAGCTGGCAAGGGGTTGAAATCGGATGCCAAAGATGAAAGACGGTCTTCCGCTCACCCAGCACCCCTTCTGCCGGAGAGTCCTCCGCTCTCCTACCCGGCTGCGCCCTTTGCCATCGGTACCTCCAAATTACCGGGCCCGGTGGCTCCGAAATGACGCGTTTCGTGGGCACCTGCTGGCTGCGGCAAGGACCGATAAGGCTTGCTCGGAGTGCGACCCGATGACATGGCCTTGGGTTTGGGAAGCCTCGTCCGCTCCGGTGGCCTCTGCAGTTTCAGGACCACAAGACGCCTCTTCACCACAACACCTCTACGTACGAAGAACGAAGAAGGAATAATTGCGATTTTCTCAGGGGAAAAGGGCTCGACGTAGCAAAGTCGGCAGCATCGCACACACACGCTCTCAGCCTCCTCGCTTATTGTCAGGACAACGTGGCACGCAGCGCCCCTTCGCCAGAGCGCCTATAGCTTTGCCGAAAATTTCACAACCACGCAACACGCGGTCCCGAGCGCTCGAATCGAGCCGAGCGATGCGACACGTCTTCCTGGCGACCACTCAAACCCCCCCAGTTGGCGTCAGGACCCCAGCCTGTGTGGTCCGGCTCTGCACATCAGAGGACTATCGGTGAGATGCAAGAGGCAACTGCGAGCAGCATACATACGTCTGGACGGGGGTGACTTCCAACGGGCTCACTCCACGATCTCTTGCACCGCTGGAATCGAGGCTTCTTACCCGCTCTTTTCAGGAGGGTTTTTGCTTGGCGCAACATACCCGGTAGCCAGTAGGGAACAGCATCCTCCCCGCTTCTCAAACAAGTGCAGGCATCGACAAGGAGCGCGCTGCACGCAGCATCGGCTGTGCTCCTATCACCCTATCACGCGCCGCCGCAACCCCCGAACTTCCAGAAATATCCCCTTTTGAGTCTCGGAGAATCTGCAACGGCGCCACCAACAGCAACTTGCATATGTATGAAGTCGCACGCCGCGCACATCATTGGACTGCGCTCCGCACCAGCATCATGGCAACGGTCCGCTGAGCCCCGTAAGCGAGCGTCGAGGCGCGCGCGCTTCCGCTGCAAGTCGTGCTTCTTTGGTACTGGCACCCATACTTTGCAACCTTGCATTCGATGGATTTTTCCCGCGCCCGGAATCCTTCGCACCGTCATCTTGGTTCTGGGCGCGGAGAGGAGCGGCAGCGGGCCGAGCGCTCCTTGAAGCATGATAGGTGGTGCGATCTTTGCGATCGCCGTTGGTCGTGCGGCTCTTGTGGCTCTCTCCCGTTTGACGAGTCTTGGTAATCAAGCCAGCTAATGGTGACAGGACTCAGGAGGGCCGCGTCGCGTATATTTCTGCTTCATGGAATGAGCCAACAATTGGTAAGAACGCCGCTTGTTCGCCTCACGCCGCGAGGCTTTCTGCTGCTCACCTCCCGCACGGCGTATACGGTGGGTCTGTGGACCTTCAATCAAAACAGACGTTCGCTTGAACTAGGCTCTACACTCCAGGCAGAGTGTGGTAGCCGCTTTGGACTTCGATTGGTAAGGGAGGTGGTGGCCATGGGTGTTGAGCTGCCCCGAGTGACAGCGCCTTCGCTCATAGCCGTCGCTATTTTGGCTCACCTGCATCCTGGGCTCGTGCTTTAGTAACGTCAGGGTTGCTCAACGCCCATGTTGCATGCCGTGTAACCTGAGACGACCGCAGTTGAGGTGTGGGTTGAAATACCTGGGCCTTCCCCAATCGTCCCGCTCATATGGTCATGGGGACACCGTTGCTTTGCTTCCGGCACCCCTGGTCCGCATCAGACACACACGAAGACGACTGCGGCAACAGTAACTCGGCATGTCGACACCAACGACACTCATGTGACAATGATGAAATCGCTGTTTACACTGAAACTGTGGGAGTGGTCTTGCACACTGAGGACAGCAGACACGAATGGACGGCATAATTGTTGCGGTAGGTGCGGCCGCTTTTCACTCATGACACGCGTGCCTCAAGTCTTCGTCACCCGTACTTGCTCTACTAGCGGGCCTTATACTGCACTCGGATGCTGTAAAGCGTCCACTAGACCGCTCCGTTCTCATCATTACTCGAACAGAGGACATTCTTCGGGAAGGGCATTGCCACAGGGCGCGGAGAGGGGGGGGTGGAGAGGGGTAGGTGTCATGCAGTAGTCACGCTTTTTTTTTTTTTTTCATTCAAATCGCAGTGGGGTGGGGAGGGGTGTGTGTGTCAAGCAATTCGGTCCCAAGGGGGGGCCGGGAGGACGAAGCCAAGACCGAACTATGCCTCGGCAGCGTGGGGGACACTACGATTACGAGGAGGAGACGGTGCCGGGGCATTTTTTTCTCTTCACTTTCCATTTTCAGTTGGTGTTGTTTTATTCCTGGAGCTGGTGCTCTGCTCCGTGGTGGAGACGGGTTTCAGGGCGCAGGATGACTCGGCCGCGGTACTCCGTGCGGGCAGTGTTCGTCGCCGTCGCCCATCCATCGAGATCGACGGACGGACAGGACGACGACGTGCGTGCGCTTGTGAGTGCGTGCGAGCTTGGTTGATTGCTTGTTTTGCTTGGTCGAACGGAGGAGGGCTGGAGGAGGCCTCAGTCACGCTCGGACCGGCCGGCTTCCCAAGGGGGTATTTGCTGGTGGCTTTGGCTTTTGGTCTGGCTCTGGTTCTGGCTCTTGCTCGGGTTGGTCGGAGGGGAAAGAGAGTGGGTGGTCTCGACTGCTCGCTGAGCTGCTCCTTCCTCATCCTCGCTGTTGCGTGCGTGCTAACAGCCATTACGCCTCCTCCTCCCTCCAACCTCCGTCCGAAAAGGCTGCCAATGCCGCGACCATCCGGCTACCCTACCATATGCTGCTCTCATCTGACGGCCTTCCTGCTGTCTGCCTTACCCACTGTCCTGGTCACCAGCACCGACGCCGGACGGACCACGCAAGCTTGGCTCTGAAAAAGCAACCACACGCACCACACGTTCGAAACACACAGCCACGCCTCCTCTCAGGAGGTCAGAGGCAGGCACGCTGGGATGAGCTGAGATGAGAGGAGGAAGCAGGTGAGGGTGTTTCTGACGACGACGCCGACGACGACGATGACACTCAGGCCGCTTGCTAGGCTCACGCGCACACACGCACACACACCACACCACACATTCATGCTCCACGGCCTTGGTTGCCTAGGCATTGCGGCGAGTTCATGCCCTGCCACGGCTTAGTTACCATGCACGGCACGCCACGCCACCGCGCACTCAATCTCTCACTCTCACTCACCTCGCAGCCGCTCGTCCCAGCATATGCTGACAAACAACCAGATGAACAAACAGACAGACAGACGGACGGATGGATGGATGCACACATGGACGCGCACACACGCCGCGACGACTCCGCCTCCGCCTTAGCCTCAACCTCAGACACGCACGCGCACGCATGGCATCCATCTCTCACGGTCGGCCAGCTGGCCTTCGCCTCCGCCTCCGTCGCCTCCTACTCCTGCTCCTTCTCCTGCTCTTTCCCTTCGCCTCCTGCCACGCGTGCCTCGTCTATCCTCGACCTGCCTATTGTACCTACACATGACAAACAGCCTGCTTGCTTGGTTGCTTAGTTGCTTAGTTGCTTCAGCGCCACGGCCACGCGCCCGTCCCCCATGTCTCCGTCGTCGCAGAACGCACGGCGCAACGCCCGCGAAACACGCACGCGCGTGTTTGTGTGTGTGCGTGCGTGTGTGTGTGCGGCGCTCGGAGAGATGGGGGTTCCTGGCGCACTTGCTGGGTTGGTTAGGTGCTGCTGCTGCTGCTGGTTGGCTGGCTGGGTAATTGCGTGGGAGGGAGATATTGTAGTGGGTGGTGCTGGCTGGCGCTGGGCTTTGTTCTTATCGTCCGCTGGATGTGGGCGCGGGTGCTAGGTTCTGATACTGCTGTCGGGCTGGCGGGAGGCGTGTAGGTATTGGGATGCTGATGATGCTGCTGCTGCTGCCGCTGGCTGGCTGGCTGGCTTGGGTGCGGTCGCGTGGTCGCTTGACGGACGGGGAGCGGCTGCTTGTGTGCCGTGGGATGGAATGATGGGCGAGAGTGGCGGGTTTTGAGTCCGAACTAAAGACTCGGGGCTTGATAAACGGTAGGTGCGTTTGGGCGAGCATTGAGTGAGTGGATGAGTGGGTGAGTGAGTAAGTGGATATGCGCGGTGCAGCTGGTTCAGTGAAGGGAAGGTGCTTGGTGTCGTGCGGTGTGGTTGCGCTGATGGATGGGATATATTTGAAAATGGTGCAGGTGGGAGAAATGAGGGAGGCGGGTGAGTAAGTTAGTATGTAAGTAGGTAAGTGAGTGTGTAAGTATGTAGGCAGATGTTTGTATGTGTGGCAAGAGCGCTGGTGAGGCGAGATCGTGACGGAGAATGGGCGCGGGTTGTGCGTGCTGCAGCTGCTGGATAGAGGTGGGCGGGGTAGGTGGGTGGGGAGGTCGTTGTGGGCGTTTTTTTAACCATGTGCGTACGTATATAAGTAGGTTAGTAAATAGTATGGTGTGAGGGTTTGTTAGGTAACTACATAACTTGGTTTCTGGGGTTTGGTGGAGTGGAGTGGAGTGGAGTGGGCTGGGCGAGGCAAGGCGAGGCATGAAGGGAGTGGTTTTGGCCGTCAGTCAGTTAGTTAGTCAGTATTGGGTTATTGAGAAGCGAAAGTGTGTGTATGTATGGCTGCTTGGTAGAGGCGTGTGAGTATGTGGGGTAGGTGTCTGTGTAGCGAGCGAGCGGGGAAATGGGGAGTAGTACATGGGCTTTAGGCTGAGGTGAGGGCTTTAATGGTCCGCAGGTAGGTAGTAGAGTGATTTTGTGGCACACGAGGTGGAGTACTGATAAAAGCCGCGCTTTCGTGGTTAGGTGGTCTATCTGCTAGGAGTAGGAAACGGGTGCTAGAAGTAGGCACGCGTGTGGGGTTACATATGGGGCTGGCTCGAGGTGGCGGGTTTCTAGTTACTAACTACCTAGGTAAAAATCGATGCGTATTGACTTTGTATTTTTGAATGTTTCAGCTCTAGTCTTAGACGGAAGCTGCCTAGTAGTGTAGTTTTCGGTATTTTTACCTATTTCAAGAAGAAGGTAGGGGTAATATATATAATCCTATCTCTACGTACTACCGTTAGTCCTATATTACCTCTCTACGCGAGAAGCTAGGTTAGTACGTAGATAGATATAGGAATAGAAGTATCTACCTAGCTAGCTAGTAGCTACGAACTTCCTAAGATAGAGTCAATTTAGCCGCCTGGCGCTTCGTTCTCGAAGACTAATATTAATTATTTTTACTTATTATACTGGTAAAAACACGCTAGCGCCTACGTAACCTCTAGCTAGATATACCGAAAACTATAAACGCCCTTAAGGCTTAAAAGCTACTATCTAATATACATCACAACCCAGCTCATCTAGACCAAGAAACCGAGAAGACTAGATTAATAAGTCTATATAGTATAAGCACGAATATATCCTTTATCCTAGCCTACGCTGCGCATGCTAGCACGCTAGCTAGCTAAACGTCCGCTGCCGACGAGCGTATACTATAAAATACGCCTAGACAGTTAAGCAAGAGCGCTGCTATGTTTCGTGTATGTATGCTCTGTCCGACAAAAAAGGGTGCTTGCTTGTTTATTCCCGTCCCGCAGCAACTGGCAGACAATCACATTCACTCACTCATTCACACGCGCAGCACTACCAACCATCACAATCATAAGAACCCTTCTATGTATTCCGTACCACACTACCCAGGTATCTCCCTCCCCCAGCATCCGCAACCGCAACCGCAAACCAAACCAAACCAAACCAAAATGAAAGTAAAGGTAAAGGGTAAACCAAAGCTACCGGTACAGTCCCCTACACACGGTCCCAAAGCCCGCCGCCGACGGCAAACACAAACACAAACACAAACCGCGGCAAACCGCGCAAACCGCTCAAGCAAGCACTCGCTCTCGCTCCAACAAGCACCACGACCTCACAAATCTCTCGATTCGCAACAACAACAACAACAACAACAACAATAGCAACAACCCCCACCCCCACACGTACATATCTCCCACGCACCGTCACCCATCCATGCAATCATCAATCATCAGCCAAGCCTCATCATCTTTCCATTCTTCCTTCCCACGTACGTACGTGTAAGTAAGCAAGCAAGTAAGAAAAAAGGCCACAAGCCCATATCCGCCCAAAACACTGCAACTGCAACGCAACCAGCCAAGATCCCGCATTCCATGCCTTTTTCTCAGTCATATAAATGAGCCCTTGGGAACCAAAACGTCAAAGATAAAAAGTTAAAGTAAATGTAGAAAAAACACCCGGAACGCCTTTCTCGTGCGCGCGCGCGCAGGAGGGGTGCTGGTCGTGGTGGCATGGTCATCCACACACTGCATACCCCGCCGTCTTTCTTTGTGTGCATATAAATGAGAGAGAGAGAGAGAGAGAGAGAGAGAGGAAGAATTTCACAATAGAACCACAGCACGACGTCCCTCTTTCCAAACGGTCACTCTACCGCGAGAGAGAGGGAGGGGAGAGACAGCAGCAACAGATCCACTCTCTACTCCGCCTCGGGCGCCGTGCCCGCCGCCTCCGGCTCCACAATACCGTCGGCCGCGACCTGCTGGCCGGAAGCAACGTCATCGTTCCTAGGCGCCTCGGCCGCCTCATTCGCCTGGATGCCGTTAAGCGTGACCTTGACCGCACCGGCCTGGACGAGCTGTTGTAACAATTAGCCTGGAATCCCCTTTTCCAAATCGGTGTTGGTTCGGCACTTACCGCCCTCCGCAGATCGTCAATCAAGTCGTCTGCGTCTTCAATGCCCACGCACAGCCGGATTATGTCCTCCGGCATGTTGCGCTCCCGGCGCGTCTTCGCGTCAATCGACGCATGGCTCATGCGGCAAGGCATCGAGATCAAGCTGTTGACACAGCCAAAGGACACGCTGATGGCCCAGAGGCGCGCGCTCTCGACAATGCGCTCGCTGACGTCGACGTCGCCCGTTTCGAACGAGAGCACCGCACCCGCGCCCCGCGCCATGCTCCAGTGCAGGTCGTACTGCGGGTGGCTCTTGAGGCCCGGGTAGCGGACGCGGAAACCGGCCTCGTGCTGCAGGAAGTCGGCGATGCGCTGCGCGTTGCCCTGCTGCTTCTCCATGCGCACGCCGAGCGTCTTGATGCCGCGCATCAGCAGCCAGCTGTCGAAGGGGCTGAGGCCGCAACCCGAGGCGTTGATCGTGAAGAACAGCTTGTCGCCCAGCGCGGCATCGTTGACAGCGATCACGCCCGCCATCAGGTCGTGGTGCCCAGAGAGGTACTTGGTGCCCGACTCGTAGACGACGTCCGCGCCCAGGTCCAGCGGGTTCATCAGCATCGGCGACATCATCGTGTTGTCCACGGCGACGACGGCCGCGGGGTTGACAGCGTGTGCCGCACTGGCAATGGTGGGGATGTCGACGATCTTGATGAGCGGGTTGGTGGGCGTCTCGAGCAGAACCATGGCCGTCTTCTCGGTGAGGACCTTCTTGACCGCCTCCGGGTCCGTGGTATCAACGTGGTGGACAATGATGCCGCCGTTGGTAGACAGGTACTTGAGCAGGCGGTTAGTGCCGCCGTACAGGTCGTCGCCGGTGACAACCTCGTCGCCTGGCCGAAGGAGGCGGGAAATGACATCTAACGCTCCCATACCGGACGAGACGACGAGTGCCCGGTTAGCGTTCATGATCTTGGCAAGGTGCCTCTCGAGGTGTGTGCGGGTCGGGTTGCCGGAGCGCGTGTAGTCGTAGTCCCCGCCGCCGCTGCCGGAGCCTTGCTTGAAAGTCGCCGTCTGCAATTGTCCCACGTCAGCATCCAGTTCCAATGCCTCTTTATACGAATAAGCAATTCCGTGGGGATAAGCATACCTGGTAGATGGGCATGCTAGACGCATTGTACTGGTCGCCATTGTCCGTGTAGACAAGCTCCGTCGCCAGCGCATACTTCCTGCCATTCGCAGGGCTGCTCATGGCCGGGCTGGGAGGGAGATCGTGGCCATCGAGGTCCACGGTCTGGAGGGCGGCCATCTTCTTGTCGATGGGAGACATGGTGAAAGAGATGTGGGAGGGTCGTGGGGCGAAAGATGAGTAGTGGAAAATGAGGCCTGGCCACCTACGGGTATCTCAGATGCAGAGTAGGAGGAATTGAGGGCGAGGCGAGAAAGTGGTAAAGTGAGAGTGACAGTGACAGTGACAAATGCAAATGCAGGTTAAGGTACTCCAGGTCGGCTCGAGTTTCGGGTGGAGCAAATCGTGGGGTCCAGGCAGGCAGAGCGCGGCAAGAGTCATCCATTCTTTGCCGATGACGCGATTGCACGCCGCCTCCGAAGTCGCACAAGCGCCAGAGCGGGTGACTCTTCTGCCATCATCAAGAATGTAAACTGTGTATACCACCGTCAAGCTGCCGTATCAAACAAGCCGACCGGTTCCTTTCGCCTGCCTTATCCTACTGCCTCCCAATACGCCTAGAAAAAAATAAACGCCCAATTTGCCTCCAATGCGCCCACCCGCTGATTGCCATGCCCTCCCGAAAAAAAGATCCCATATACACGTACCAAAGAAATTATCAACTTGAATTGTCCACTGCTTCGTCATCGCCATCATCGGGGCTGCACCGCGCCCCAGCCCTTCCTCCCCCTGACATCAATCTCAAACTCAAAGATGCCCTCCTCCGTTCCTGCCCACAGCTTACGCCCGTCCTTGCTCATCGCCAGTCCTGCCGTGCGCACGCCGAGTCCAGGATTCCACCGCCCGGCGTGGACGGCTCTCCTGAACAGGCCGACGCCGTAGTCGTCGCCTAGCCCCCGCGCGGCTTGCATGCTGCGAACCCTTTCGCGAGCGCGCGCAAGTTGACGGAGACGGCTCATCTCGACGAGGGGATCCGCCCGCTGCGTTGGAGGGTTGCTCGGGCCGGTGCCGGCGCCGCCCGCGGGTCGCGAGGCCGAGGCCGACGTGGGTTCGGGACTGCGGGACATGGCCGCTTCGATGGTACGCCAGGGATCGGATGTAGTGTTTCTCTCGTTAGCAGTAGTGGCAGGGTTTGGCAGATAGCGAGAAGCCTGTCGGCGTGGCTGGAAAGGCGGTAAATCAATGTCCGCATTACGCTCACCAGGCATAGCGCGCAGAAAATCCCTGAGCGTGCCTAGAGAGGGAAGACCTCCTCTTTCTTGAAGAGCGCTCCTGGCTTCAGTGAGAGACGGAAATTCTCCCCCTACAAGAAGGCCGGACCGGCGGTTGTCGCCCAGGTTCGCTGTGCCGGCGCTGTAATTGATGCTGCGAGGTATCGTCCCCAGCCGTTCCCGTTCGCGGTTACTATCACTGCGATGGTCTCTTGTCCTGAGAGCGTCGAGCAGCGAGCGTTCTTCCGCACTAAAACCATTTGGATCGTTTTCAGCCTCGGCTTCTCCGGCCTGAAGCTGGGCTCGCCGCCGCTCGGCAGCTGCCTCCATATAGCCCTGGGCAACGTGAAAAGCACGCTCGTCGCTTGGCGTCGCTAGTGCGCGTCGGTACCGGTTCAGGAACTCGGCCTCCTGGCTCAACTCTTGAAGACGGGCAAGCTCTTGGCTCGTGTCGATATCCACAAGCGGAACCTCGACTTTGCTTAGGTTTTCTTCTTTTGGATCCAAAATCAGAACCTGTCTTGCCAATAAGCCTTCACGGAGATCTGCCACGCATACTCTTGCCTGATCCTCGCTCCAGATCAACAAATCCCATGGCTGAGGCGAAAAGCACATTGTCCGCACCGCACCAGGGCCGTGTGTGCTATCCGGTCGTGTGGAGCAGATGACTTGTACTATGGCATCTTCCCCGTATTCGCAGTGCTGCAGTAGCTCCGTATCAAATACCGTGATGTAGCCACACTCTGACCCGACCGCGCAGAGGTTCCCCGATGGCGACCATGCGGTGCTGAAATAACCTGTCGTGGTCGACGTGGGCGGGAGGTGCAATTGCGAGACACAAAAATTTCTCCATTCTGGTGGTGCGGCGCGGGCTCTGGTGTCCGGCTTGCTTGAGGGCGATACTTGCTTCTTGACACGTTCAAAGAAGAAGGCTTGGTGATAGTCACCGACAGCGACCAGCATTTGTCCATCCGGCGATATGGTAGCATGGTTCATCGGAAAGGGCAGGTCCAGCACCGCATCCTCTAGGCCGTGTGACAAAGAGTAGATGCGCACAGTCTTGTCGTTGTTGGTGAGGACCGCCACTACCTCATCTTCAGCGCCCTCTCCTTCACCGACCAACTTGTGTATGGATATTGAGTTCACTATTTCCTCTCCGATCCTCTCAAGCTTCACAATAGGCGACGACGTCCTTGACGAAGGCCCAGAACGACCTCCGAGCTCTAGCGGCAAGAGGGCGTCGACATCTGCGGCCAGGGAGGCGCCGCCATCAAGCTTGATGGCGGCAAAGTGGCCCTCATCCTCGCCGCCGAGGCATAGCCAGCCATGCCCTGAGGCGGTACATCTCGTCTCGAAGGGCACGGTCGCAATATGCGTGCGCCGCCGGGTGGCGGCGTTCAGGGCGAAGACATCCTGGCCGCTTGCATAGTAAAGGATGTCTTGTTCGTCACAGGAGATGTAATGGCGGAGCTGGTAGTGCGCGACAGGTATGGAGAGAGGATAGAGGGTCTTGGGAGGGAGCACGAGAGAGTCTGTCTCGCGGAAGCTGAGGAAAACGGTCAGGCTGGCGGTTCGCTCCCACCAAAGTCAGCAACGTGGGGAAGGCGGTGACTCACAGATAGTCGTCGACAGCCATTTCTCACGTCGGGGTGTGCTCAGACGGGGGCGTTCGGCATTATGGTCCTGACGGGAGCTGTACGGAGCTTTGTCGCATTAGGCGCGCATGGGCATACGTCACGGCTTCCGCTTGGCGGGGATGGGCGACGAGGGCACGGAGGGGACGGTCGCGCTGAACTCGGGCAGAAGCGGCGAGTATTTTCGACCGAGACTCGAGTGGATTTGGATGGGGAGGGGAGGAGACTGCGGGGAGCGAGCTTCGAGGGATGGAGATGTGCGTGGTGGATTGGATGAGCTGCGTCACACTCAGCAGCAGCTCACGTGCTGCGACAAAGACCAGCAGCACCGCAGCAGCAACCGCAGAGCATCAGCAGCTGTCGCGGACAATTTTCGCTTCTTCGCATCATCAGCGTCAATCGCCCAGCAATTGGCCACTCGGAGCGCGGCAGCTTGTCCACAGTTGTGGCTCGTGCGCCTTCAAGGTTCTCTGCCCTTCTACCGCCGCCGCAAGGCTCTTTGCTGAACTTTTTCTCGGAACCTCTCTTGTCTCCGCCATCCTTCTTATACCCCATCCTCCCCCCCATCTCTGCCCATCCCCGTCTCCTTCCTTTCATTCTTCAGCGACTGCTTGATCGTTGAGCGCACACTGTCACAATGCTGTCCTCGAGGTTATCCAGAGCTGTATGTACCCACCACCTATGACGCCTCCGCGACGCGCCCGAGCTAACTCCACCTACAGTTTGTTCCCCGGGCTTCCGCCTTCAACCGCGCCTCGCCGCTCATCAAGTCTCCTCTGGGCTCCTCCTTCGTGAGGCGGTATGCCGAGGGTGGCGACGAGAAGGTGAAGGGCCAGGTCATTGGTATTGACCTGGGTACCACCAACTCCGCCGTCGCCGTCATGGAGGGCAAGCAGCCGCGCATCATCGAAAACGCCGAGGGTATGTGTTCCATCATCAATGTTTCCTCCGCGCGCTTCTGCTAACTCGCCGTCTTCCAGGTACCCGCACCACGCCCTCCGTCGTCGGTTTCACCAAGGATGGCGAGCGTCTGGTCGGTATTGCCGCCAAGCGTCAGGCCGTCGTCAACCCCGAGAACACTCTGTTCGCCACCAAGCGTCTGATCGGCCGCAAGTTCACCGACGCTGAGGTCCAGCGTGACATTAAGGAAGTGCCCTACAAGATCGTCCAGCACAGCAACGGCGATGCGTGGCTCGAGGCCCAGGGCCAGAAGTACTCCCCCTCGCAGATTGGTGGCTTTGTTCTGGGCAAGATGAAGGAGACCGCCGAGACCTTCCTCAGCAAGCAGATCAAGAACGCCGTTGTTACCGTCCCCGCCTACTTCAACGACTCTCAGCGTCAGGCTACCAAGGACGCCGGTCAGATTGCTGGCCTGAACGTCCTCCGTGTCGTCAACGAGCCCACCGCTGCTGCGCTTGCCTACGGTCTTGAGAAGGAGCAGGACCGCGTCATTGCTGTCTACGATCTTGGTGGTGGTACCTTCGATATCTCCGTCCTGGAGATCCAGAACGGCGTTTTCGAGGTCAAGTCTACCAACGGCGACACCCACCTTGGTGGTGAGGACTTCGACATTACCCTCGTCCGCCACCTCGTCCAGCAGTTCAAGAAGGAGCAGGGCATCGATCTCTCCGGCGACCGCATGGCTATCCAGCGTATCCGTGAGGCCGCCGAGAAGGCCAAGATCGAGCTTTCCTCCTCGCTCGCCACTGAGATCAACCTGCCCTTCATCACTGCCGACGCTTCCGGCCCCAAGCACATCAACTCCAAGCTCACCCGTGCCCAGCTCGAGGGTCTCGTCGACCCTCTGATTAGCCGCACTGTCGAGCCTGTCCGCAAGGCCCTTAAGGACGCCAACCTGCAGGCCAAGGACGTCCAGGACGTCATCCTGGTCGGTGGCATGACCCGTATGCCCAAGGTCACCGAGTCCGTCAAGAGCATCTTCGGCCGTGACCCCGCCAAGTCCGTCAACCCTGATGAGGCTGTCGCCATTGGTGCCGCCATCCAGGGTGCCGTCCTCTCCGGTGAGGTCACCGACGTGCTCCTGCTCGATGTGACTCCTCTCTCCCTCGGTATCGAGACCCTTGGTGGTGTCTTCACCCGTCTGATCAACCGCAACACCACCATCCCCACCAAGAAGTCCCAGGTCTTCTCGACCGCTGCCGACTTCCAGTCTGCTGTCGAGATCAAGGTCTACCAGGGTGAGCGTGAGCTTGTCCGCGACAACAAGCTGCTCGGCAACTTCCAGCTTGTCGGTATCCCTCCTGCGCACCGCGGTGTTCCTCAGGTCGAGGTCACCTTCGACATCGACGCCGACTCCATCGTCCACGTCCACGCCAAGGACAAGTCCACCAACAAGGACCAGTCCATCACCATCGCCTCCGGCTCCGGTCTCTCTGACAACGAGATCGAGAACATGGTCAACGATGCCGAGAAGTACGCCGAGGCTGACAAGGAGCGCAAGGCCGCCATCGAGGCTGCCAACCGCGCCGACTCCGTCCTGAACGACACCGAGAAGGCCCTTAAGGAGTTTGAGGACCGCCTTGACAAGGCCGAGGCCGAGAAGATCCGCCAGAAGATCGAGAGCCTCCGTGAGTTCGTCAGCAAGAGCCAGGCCGGCGAGGGCACCGCCACCGCCCAGGAGCTCAAGGAGAAGACCGACGAGCTCCAGACCGCCTCCCTAACCCTCTTCGACCAGATGCACAAGGCCCGCTCCGAGCCCCAGCAGGAGCAGCCCCAGCAGGAGGGTGAGAAGAAGGAGTAAGCGTCAGTCTTAGGTGACTAGGTGTCTTCCTTTCTTCCTTCCGGCCTTTTGTTTAAGAAAAAAAGCGATTTGCGGATGCATATCTTGGGGGATTAGGGATGAGCGAGCCGTATTTTTTCTCTCGCCACCCGGGTCCCTGTTTTTGTAGCATATGACCATTGTCACGCCGAAGTTTTCTCTTTGTACAACCACACCCCATTCTGCTTGTCTTTTTCTGTTTTTTTATACCTTATTTTTCCTCTCGGCGGCTTTGGGGGGAGTAAGGAATTAGGGACCCGGGGAGGCTCCGCTGGGTACTTACTATCTGATGTCTTTTTCGTTTTCTTCTGATTTTTTCTTGCGAAAAAGAAAAGCCTCAGCGGTTGGGTCTTGTGTAGGATGGGCATGAAGTGTAATGAAAAAAAATTCTCTCCTCTCAGATTTGGGATGTGTTTTGCTGTGATGTGTCTATTGTTGTTGCTGGTGCTGTGTGTTAGAGGTGGTTGGCGTCGTGTTGATTGGGTTGTCCCGGTCGGGGGTGGTGTTGTGGTTAAAAGTATTTTGTACAGGTATTCTGACCTTTGAATCCTCGGGTCCAGTCAAAGTACTGCAGTGGACCATTCTTCCGCATCCTGGGATGCTTCCCGCATTCGGTTTGCGGACTCGGTCTCGACTTGGGAACTTTATACTCGTCCCGATATTGGAAAGAGAATTGGTTGGGTGGGCGAGTGATGGTTAACTAGATGAGTAGGGAGATGATGATGAATGACTGGTTGGGTAGATGGTGATGGTGTGCTTGAGGGGGTTGTGGTGGTGGTTGTTGGTGTGGCGATTTGATTTGTGTTTTAGGTTTGGGGAGGTGTTGAAGGGTGGGGAGATTGTTGTAGGCGAGGGTGCGCTTTTGTTGTTTGGCATTTGCCATGACCCGTGTCGGCGGCATTGGTATAGATAACTATACTCTTCAGGAGGTGTAGTGCGAGTTTCAACTGAGTGGATTTTGGGAGGTATTTATGTTCCCCGTCTGGGTTTAGGCGCTGTTGTAAGACAGTGACGTCTACGTGGTGGTATCTTTCGCGTAGGTCGTCGAGCTCTAGCGCTGCTTATTTAAGGGTTTATGTGCGTTATAGTGTAAGGCTGCTTCAGCTTTTTAAGACGTGTATACTGCTTATAGAAAATGGTCGCTCAGTGTCTAATTTGCTCGTCTCTAATTGGTAGTATAGTTTATTGATGGCTGTACCATTTTATGAAGGTGTTTGCGAAGTTTGCTTGACAAACAGGAGCAAGATTTCTCGATTGAATTGTTATAGGTCGATCCCCGTTCACGTACACTTATGCCACTATCCAGCCTAAAGCCAGTTCTAGACGAGCCGATGAAGCGACGCACGACGGCTGTACCAACGAAGCGGCGTCACACCGAGAAACCCAATACCCTGCCACTTCTGATGACGGCACACTGAAACGCACCTAACCGTTGGTGTCGCTGTAAAAGTTTGCCTGATCGCAGCGTCCTAATTCAGCATAGTGCTCCATCAGCACCTCATGCTAACCGCTTTAAATTTGCAGCCTAGTGACTTCCCATTCCAACCTCACCACTTCACACGACACGGTTACCTCTGCAACACAAGGTCTCCGTTCGAAGCCGGAGATCGCCGTTTCGTGGTCTTAAGGCCTGCTGCGATACTTGGGATTTGCTTATCTTCGTCAGCCTGGACGGGCGAAGCCGCGCTTCGACTGGCTCGATGGGCATGTTAGCCTTGTGGCCTTGTCTCGGATGGAGAAAGAGCTGTGGATCGGAATCCGAGAGGAGTTTGATGAGGCTGCCTGGAGATTGTTGACTGATGAGGAAGCCGGAACCAGTCTCTCCGATATGCCCGTGATTCAATATCAGCAATTTACTTGCAGATGTCCGCCCATCGGAACATGAAGACTATTGTAGTCTTCTTTCCGAAACCCACCAGGCGCTTTTGGAAATACTTATGGAGCCAATCCTAAACCTGGCCATTGAGAAGCCGGATTTCACCTTCACGTTTGAACTAATGTAAGCCAACTCACCGTTCTCCGCAACACGGCATTCGATAAACATTAGATTTCTATGTGGCTTTGCTTCATGTCTCACCATGGGGCTCAACATCGGACAAAATCGACGACCTCCGAGCATCACGACTACCTCAACCAAGAAAATACCATGTCTGAAGTCTCATGCGGTAATCTGAGAACAGCCTAGATGCATGTGCCCCTCTTTTTGCTCAGACGTACACAGTCATTGCATGTCGACAAAGCCCGCAGGCTGTTATCTTGGATTCGACCGAAGGACAAGGCTGGCTGATCTCCATCACGGAATGCATATCATCAAGGCAACAGCGGCAGATCGACATCAACTCCTGTCCAGCCTGGGTCTCGGCGCATGGTGTGAAAAAGTCATTCACTGACACTTGCATGGCATTCCCTAGTGCACCTGCATTACGTGGAGGCCTGCCCGCGAATCATCACCATGAATAGTTGAGGAGTCACACTACCACAGCTGGCTTTTCATGCACTCTTGAAAAGCCATCTATTATTATACCGTGGACGCGTAATGACCACCAGGCTGAGTGGTCTCTTCAAGATCAAGGCTTCTATAAAGCCTCGTGCTGCGCCTTTATGCTGGTTCGGATAACATTAATAACTAGGCAAACACCCGAGGACGCGCGATACAGGGCGAGGAATGAGGTCTGGTGAGCAATGACTATCGGAACCGCACCATCCTCTGGCAGCACACCATCGCAACCTTGGAGCCGCATATGCATTGCTTTTTGCTTGCGGGCATGACCTCCCCGCAAAAAGACCTGAAACTCTAGAAGATTTATCTTGCAGAAGGGCGAAATCATTGGACGCCTTGCTTTTCTATTCATGGAAAGAATTAGCGTGCATTAGAATCGAGCCTAGAAAAGATGGAGTTTCAGTGTTCCAGGCTACTCGGGCTGCGAGACGCGGCAGGGGCCAAAGTCTAATGCACCAACCCTTTGGCCGATAGTTGGCTGTGCTACGGGAAACGCATCTTGTAATGGTCAAACGCAATATATCAGATACCAGCTTATCGATGCGGGACAAGTGCGCAAGAAGCGGGTGCATGCAACACAGGGGAACCCCGGAAACAGCGTGGCATAGGCCAACGCCAACATCTTGCAGCAGCAGGAGAGAACCGCATGTCCAGAGATGCAGATGGGGAGAGAGGATGACTACGAGACTGCAGCCACAGCCCGTTTGCGAGCACGCGTCGGCGTATAGCTGGCACCCTACAAGGCTCGCAATCTCAACTTTGTGGCTCTTGTTCTTCTCCCCTCACCAGCTGCGCCCTGTTACTCCGTGGCACCACACTGCCCTTTGCGCAACCTCGAAGATACTCCTCCGCGACCAGGCTGCAGCTCCATGTCGTAAGCCTGGTGTTGCCATCGCGCACTGATTCGATTCTGCTCCTCTTACCAAGGCAACTCGTTGGCTCGCGTGCGCGGCGAACGGGATATATAAATCGCGCCAAACCGCCCGCCTCGTCGTCTATGTCAAGGCGCCGACCCGGTCTCATCGTCTCTGCTGCTCTTCCTCCAATTGTCCATGGACGAAGACTGGGACATCATTGAATCATCCTCGGTCCCCCCCTCACTGCTTGCCTCCACTGCACCGTCGCGCGTCAGCACTTTAACACTGGATCCACCACGCCATTGCTTCTCGCCAGACCTGCTGCAAGAAACTGAAGAAGCACCGCTGACAGCGGGCCTTGTCTCCGAGAGAATGGAAGAAGAAAGGATCCCGTCCCCGCCGCCACCGCCCAACCCCATCGAGAAGTACTATGAGGACGAAAACACCAAAGAAGAGGAGAAGGAGCACCTCCTAGACGAAAGGGAAGAAGGAGAAGAAGAAGAAGAAGAAGAAGAAGAAGAAGAAGAAGATCTCCCCATCCCCTTCGTCTACGAGTCCACAGTGCTGGAGCCCGAGCCCGACAGCCTCCTCGACGCCTCCACGCACTCGTCCCCCTCCTCCCGCCCCAAATCCCTCGACAGCTCGTACATGTCCTCATCGGCGACCGAGACAGCAGCACTAGCAGCCGCGCCAGCAGCGTCCCCATCTGCGTCATCGACTCTGCCACTGCGGCCCCTCTCCCCCGCCTCCACACTGCCTCGGCGCCCGCGCCAGCCCAACAGCAACAGCAACAGCAACAGCAACGACAACATCGGCGTCGGCATGACCACAGACACGAACACAAACGCCCACGCCAGCGCCAGCGCCAGCGGCGGCGTCTGGGTCCCCCCGCCCCCAATCGTGCTGCGCACACCCCCCATCCTGACAAGCACGACGCTGCCACCCTCTCCACCACCACCACCACCACCACCGCCCCCTCCAATGCCATTCACGTGGGAGCACCTCCCCCC